GGTAAATATATAAGAAGAAACTAATGAAGTAAGGTTTGATTTCAGATTTCTCTGGCACTGTTTCTAGGCAGTTAAGAGTTGTCTCCTGTAAGGGAGAATATCCATACTGTTTTTAGGCGGAAAAGAAGATAGAGAGAGCTCTTTCTCCGTTGCTATTTCATAGTTACCTTTAGTTCAAGAATAATTTTTGTATCCATGAGGCATATTTGGGGGTGACATTTTCTGGTTTCCTTCACCTACTTCACACCTCTGCCCAAGGATTGGTCTTGCCACCAATATCTACTAAAGCCTAGACTTTGAGGTTAAATTCGAGTTCCATACCTGAGTCTCCCTACCCAGGTGAACTAAAGACCACCTAATTTCTCAGAATCTCTTCATCTGCTGTCTCCTAAGGGTTGTAACAAGATTTAAACATAATAACAATGGCAATGAATTTAAAACAGTTGCTGATTCAATAAATTCCAAATAGATAGCAGCAGTGATCCCAGGGAGAGATATTGGTTGTAACACAAGGAAATGGCCCAGCTCTTTTCTGCCTCCAGCCTGCATTTTGATGGGTTCCAGCCAGTATTGTTGACTGCTTATTTGCTAATTGATCAACTACATTATCCACTTATATTAGATCCTTTTTAAAAACTCTTCCTGTTTCCTGACAATGCCCCTGGTTATGCAATAAGATCCCAAATGTGAATACTTGAAAGGGCCTTGCTTACAATGAATATAATTCAGTCACCACTGCCCAGTGGAAGAACTATTCCTTATATGAGGGAGTGCCAGCCCTGTGCTCTGCAAACCAAAAAAAGTTTTAATATGTACTTTCAAACGTCTATGGAAACATTTGGGGCTTGAATTATTTGGAGTTATTTACTCAGGGCTATCACAAGGAGCCAGGAGAAGCACACAGTCTTCTGACAATTAGGTGGGGAGGCATTTACCACTGTTCTTACATACTGTAACTGAAGAAGTGACCATTCATGTGTCTATTTTCCTTGCTATGTATCTGCTGTAATTTTCAATCATGAGGACCTCTTCTTGAAATCAAGAAATATTACCTAATATTATCCTTCCCCAAAAGCAGTGGTCCATTGACTGAGGAAATGCATTATGAAAAATTGCTATAGTGAATTAACTGAGAATGGAGATTTTATGAATCACATTAACATCTACGCAGATTTGGAAAATGGTAGTGTATTTCTGCATGAAACGTTTTCGCTATCCAGTAAACAGTCATCCAGGAAGCTAAGGATCCCTTGCATTAACATCCTGGCGCCACAGAGACCTACATCTTGCAGGCTGGGAACCAATGTCTAAAGGTATTTAACTGAGAGTTTGCAGAAGAAAGTACCACAAAGTTATGTTGAACATTAGCTTTCTGAGTGGCCTATAATTCTACTAATGACTGCTGAATTTAAAAATTAAAATAATGATAGGTTGCCTGTAAATAGAATTTTGTTTTTGAAACAGGAAAAACATGAATTTCTAGTTGTGGAGTCTAATATTTAACTACAGTAGACTGATCTAAGTCTTGGCAGGATACGAGACATAATTTGAAACCATGAAGGTATAAACCCAGGGGAACAATGTGTATAATGCTTGAATTATGTTCAGACTGATCAGGGGGATGGCCGGGGGATTTCTTTATTAAAATTATTGAACAGGAAAGTGCCTTCAACCACAATATAAAAGCCAATTTGCAATTACTGTTCTACTTTTCCTCTACTTTCCATTTTTATTTTAGTGCACAGTTTGTGGCCAAATCAGCTTTTGCATCTCTTGGACTTATATTTTTGTAGAAAAAGATTTACTTTAGTTTTCATTTTAATGCTACCATGTAACAAATTGCTCTAAACTTTAAAAAACCTGCTTCCCGGCCTCTTTGCTTCCTTTTTGTCATTAAATGATTAGGAAGATAACATTGTTGAGATCTTAAAGATTCTGACGATCAAGCATATATTTATGCTACATTAGGGAAGTGAAGCATTTCTTGAATGAGTATTTTAAAAGTGGAGTCAAATAAAATTTATTTATTTTAATCTCTTTGGGTTGATTTAGCTCTGGGCTATCCAAAAATGAATTTCTTTATATGTGAAAGTGTCAGCTGTTTAAAATAAAATTATGACTTTGAAAATTACTTGCTACAAATCCTAGAATATAGTGGCACTCAAAAATGATTACTTTTCATGGGCCTGGGGATAAAAATGCTACTATTTGTTCATTTAGTATTTTTTTCTTTACTTCAGGACTTTTGTTTTAGAATTAAAATTTAAGTTCTAGAGAAAAAGTTTCGCAGATGAACATGAAGCAAAACAGTGTATGAAAGTACTTTGTGGGGCCGGGCATGGTGGCTCATGCCTGTTATTCCAGCACTTTGGGAGGCTGAGGCAGGTGGCTTACCTGAGATCAGGAGTTCTAGATGAGCCTGCTCAACATGGTGAAACCCTGTCTCTACTAAAAATATAAAAATTAGCTGGGCGTGGTGGTGGGTGCCTGTAATTCCAGCTGCTCGAGAAGGCTGAGGCAGGAGAATCACTTGAACCTCGGGGGGCGGGGGGGGGGAGGTTGCAGTGAGCCGAGATTGTGCCATTGCACTCCAGCCTGAGTGACAAGAGCGAAACACTGTTTAAAAAAAAAAAAGTAATTTGTAAATTAAAAGGTAATATTGACCCATACCCATCAGTATTTTAATGAAAGCCTACATCACAAATAGGTGTTGACATTCATTTATTCCTTCATTTATTCATTCAACAAGCATTTGTGGAATAATAAGAATTCTGCTGTGTTCTTAAAATTCAGCTCTGCACAAGGCAAGAGAGAAGCCATGTATTTTAGGCTCTGGAGCCTGCATTTGAATCCTAGCTTTGTCTCTTATTTATTGTGTGACTTTGGGAAAATTATGTGACCTTTCCATACCTTGATTTTGTCTTCAGTGAAATGAAGATATTAATGACATTTAACTCATAAAGATGTTTTGGAATGGTGGTTTATAACCTACTTTGGATATGTGTTAGAATTACCCAGAGAAATTTTTTAAATTACCAATACATTCTTCAGCCGCTACTGTTCTGGCGAAGTGATAAGAGACTTAGACTCTGACAGCCGACTGATAGTGTCATCATGAGGACACCCAGGTATGGCTTTTCCTGATTCTTTCAAGAGGAGCCCACCATAGGCTTGCAGGTGGAGTTTTGACCAATCATAATTTTCTCTATATTATCCTAAAAGAATATGAAAGGGCCATAATCTTAAATCAGGGCACATCCTATAATGAGGAGCCAAAGAACCTGGTTTGTTTGTTATCCTACCATGAATGATAGCTTGATTCAAGTAGACATTGAAACTATTTCATTGGATATTCCACCAGAGGAGAAACTTACCAAGGATTCAGTGACAATTCCTGTGGAAGATTTATGTCATCAAATTCAGATTGGCACCATGGCAAATATCACCAATGCCGATTCAAAACCCATATTTGGCACCAAGAAGCTTTCTCAGGTCCTCTCTGACACAGAAATTGCATACAACATATCAAGTTCTCTGGACGATGCCACGGATAGAAGTAGAGTGTGAGGAAATTAGGAATGCAAACTCACCTGTGCAACCCCCTTGAATCACAAGTTCAGAAGCAAAACATCCCATAAATTCTAAGCCAAAATTATTGCAGCTGGGGGAGAAAATGGCTCCATCCCAAGCTCTGAATGACCCCTCAGTAGTGAATAATTGATTCCCTAACACTAAATCACCAGAGTTGCTGAGAACTCTGTCAAAGTCTTCCTCCGTTCATGGATATATGATGAGGCATTGAATTTGTTTCCTATGGTTGCTGAAACAAATTACCACAAACCTAGTGGCTTAAAACAAAATAAATCTATTATTTTATGCTTCTAGAAGTCAGAATTTAGAAAAATAGGTCTTATGGGGCTAAAATCAAAGTATTGGCATGGCCACATTCCTTTTAGAAGCTCTAGGGGAAAATCCACTTCTTTGCCTTTTAAAACTTTACAGTCTGCCCACATTCTCTGGCTTGTGGCTCCTTTACATCTTCCAAGAAGCAATAACACCGTAACCTGTGCTTCCATGGTCATGTATCTTTGGATGACTCTCCTGCCTCCCTCTATCCCTTATAAGAGCTCCTGTAATTGCGTTGGGACCACCTGAGTGATCCAGAATAATCTCCCCATTAAAAATTCTAAATCATATCTGCAAAGTCCCTTTTGCCACACAGGTTAACATATCCCCAAGCTCTAGGGATTAGGATGTGGACACTGGTGACATGGGACAGAACACGGAATTACAGAGGTCAAGGCAGAGTTTAACCTTCAATGCTGAAGGAAGAGTAGGGTGGGTGACTTGAATTTCTCCCTTCCCCTCTTTCGCCACGTGTTGAGTTTGGTACATTTAGAATGCATAGCAGATAAAAGAATTGTAAGTCTGTAAACGCCATGAGACATACAGCTTGATGATTTATAGAAAAAAAATTCTCTTAGCCTTTATAGGATTGAATAGTTCTTAACTTTTATCATTGAGAAGCAGGTTAAATTCCTCTTCCTTTAGGTTCCTATAGAAGTACACTTCACCCTAGAAACAAAGTGCAGTGTGTAGGTTATAACCTAGACAGGCCTTCTCTTATTCCTCTGCTTACTCCTGAAGACACTGATTGAAGAAAGGGTTCCCCAACACCTATTTGATCTGAAATACAGTTGAACTCAAACTATATCTGAAAATAATCCTTACCTGAGACTAGGCATTTCCTTTCCTGTGCCTGCCAGCGACACAGGATATTTTCTCGACCCCATCACAGATCTTGCGACAAGGGTGCCTCATTTGCTCAGCTTGCCCTGCTCAACCCCTCTCGGGAGGGAGCTTTCAAGCAAAGGAGTGTGGAACCAGAGTGAGTGAGTGCAGGAACTGGCCCGCAGCCCAGCAGGAGCAAACTCCCTTCACTTGGGTTCACCCGGGCTCCACCCCCAGCGGGAGGGAGCATGGGAGCGAACAAGTGCTGGAACCAGCTGACCTCTTCCGTGCTGGCAGGAGCGAAGTCCACTGGCGGGAGCAAACTCTGTGCAGGCCCCTTTGACCCCAAGGCCGGTGAGTTACAATGCTCTCTTAGCTCTGCCGCCTGCAGATAGCAGTGTGTTATCAGCTCAGTGGGCCTTTTTGTTTGTCACATGTGGTGGCTGCCCTCTGCCAGCAATGGCAAAGAGTCAGTGTGACAGCCTTTTTGGGTACCCATACATGGTGCATCCTAAATTCTTGTCCATTGCTCAAAAAGAATGAGGTCGCATGGAAAAAATTGGAGGATAGTAAATGTGGACAATTTTATTGAGTGATAAAAGTGGCTCTCAGGGAGAAGGGAGCTGGGAGGGGGATGGGAAGGGCAGGTGGCTCTCCTCTGGAGTCAAGCTGCCTGTCTGCCTTTCTCTTCCAAAGTCAAGTTGCCTCAACCAGCCACTGTCTCTGAAGTTAAGTTGCCTCACCCGGACGTCCAGCCACTTCTCCCCTCTGCTGGCTGAGTCCGGGGTCCTTATAGACACAGGAGGGTGGGGCGCAGGGCAGGCCATAGGTAGTTGCGGAAAAGGCAATATTTGGTAAAAAGACATTATTCAGAAAGAACCAATCAGTAGAGAGCAGGCACATAGGGACGGAAATTCTTACTGTGGGCTGTGGTGACTTAGGCTTTTCAGCTAAAGATGGGGCTTTGCCAGGGACCTGCCCCTGTCTACCTAGTTTCTCTGCCTCTGTCACAATTACTAGCACTGGGGAAGTAGGCAAAACAAATGGCAAAGATTTTCCAACCCTTCCATGACTTTTAAATCTGCTGTTTGGATATTCTTAATAAAAAAGTACTGATTTAATTGTTTCGAGCCTTCCTTATGAGTGAATAATTATACCGTGGATTGTCTTTCGAACCAGGTAAATACTGCCCTGAAATAGTCTATTTTCTAATATCAGGCTTTAAATAGTTTTGTTTTGCTTTTTAAATGAATCTTTCTCTGCTGAGCCATAGAGGTTGGGACAGAATAGCTATTTGAACCAGCTATTCTGAATAGCTATTTGAATAGCTTCAGAACTAATGTGTTTTTCTAATGTCTTTACGGAAGCAGTGTATTTTATTCCTTGCATGTGGTAGGTTGTTGTGCACTGTGAAGGCCTGGATTACAATTCCTGATTCTCACAGTGCACAATAATATTTGCACACTGGAATTCATGGTATGTGGGGCACAAAACAGCCAAAGAACGTGGCAGATACCATCCAACTTGTGAAATAAAGAGAAAAATCAACGTAAAAAAAAATTCCAGCCTACCTGTTGCCTATTTGCTTTCTCCCATCCCCCAACATGATTGATCCTGATCCTGATTGATTCTTACTCTGTAACATTGCCAAGCACCTTCCAGCTCTCAACAGCTTGTGAATCTGTGTACATGACCCTCCTCCTCCTAGGTCTAGGAAAACAACTCTTGACATTCACATCATTTCTTCTTTGAGATTCTGAGTTGACCTTGAAAAGTCCAGAACATGGGCAGTCCTCTCCCAGAGCCACTCTGGGTGTCTGTTCTTTGCTGGATAATTCCTTGTCAGTCCCAACCTCCAGAGGAAGCCTTTCAATCCATCCCTGAGCTTGAACCATACTCTGACTTCCCACATCCAGGATCCTGGCCAAAATTATTAAAGGCATCTAGAGTTTTTTTTTTACTTGGAACTCAAGTTGCATGTTTTTCTTATTGGTTTAATGTTTGGTTTCTTCTCCATTCTCAGAAACAACATCATTCTCTTCTGGTTGAAAAATCCCTAATTTGACTTAAAATAATGTGTACATTAAAAGACAATAATAATGGAAGCCAATGGAACAAAAAATGTGTTTGTGCTATCCAAACTTTTTTCTTAGAAACCTAGCTGGGACTATGATTTTCTTAGCAAAGTTAAGCACATGCACAACCGCACAAAGCCAGGGGCCTAGCCCAGCAAGATAGAGGGGGTGTTTTATGGGACAATATTTCAATGAATGACTGGAGCCTTCATGTCTGGCTCCACGGGGTGCAACTACCCCACTAGATAATGTATCTGAGTGAAAGAAGGAAGGCTGGATCCAGGCCTCTGTGTGATGCTCATTGTGGTGTTATTCAGTGGTTACTAAGGAGTACCTACCTGTTTACTCAGGATGTGTAGCCTTCTGGGTGACAGAACCTCCAGGGCTTTGCCACACCACAGCTGCAGAAACGGCAGTGCTTGGAGAGTTGACAGCATTTAAAAAAATTTTAATAGATGCCTATATCTAATACCAAGCATTAAATAAGTCAGAAATATGAGCCAATAAGATTTATAAAGTATATTTTTTAGTCATGGTTTTTAAAAGGGTTTTGAAGATAACAAGGACTGCTTGGCTAAAAATCTTAGGGCAAAGTGCATTGCTGGCCAGCTGGTAATGGCTGAAGAAAGACCAGAGTATAAGTAGGTGTAGCAAATTAACAGCCGGAGTGGGCCTTTAAAAATTTAAAGGACTGCTGTTAAAGCTACTCAACTTCAACTTGAACTTACCTTTAATTCTTGACATAACTTTTTGAAATACTTATATTTTTGCTCTAATTATTCCTTCTTTTCCTTTTTTCCTCTTCTCCCCATGAAGTAATCAGTTCAATTCTTTGACCAAAATTTATATTTTGAAGTATTGTATGTAAATAATGAATTAAAAGAAACCCTTAAAACCAGACAATGCAGTGACCTACGCTTTAAGGAAATCACTGCATATAATTTTGAAATAAAATGCAGGTTCTTCAGGGTAACTGACACCATCATTGAATGATATCTTTATAACAAGTAAATAAAATACCATCTCGTTAAAGAAAATTCATCTCTATTAATATAATTTTCGCAATTTAAAGTCTCAAATTAATATTAGGGTAGAAAATTGGAAAAAAAGAAAAACAGCTCTGTAATGTTTGGATTCTGACCACCCGGAAGAAAACTAGATTCAAAACAATGATTTCCAGGGAAACAAAATTAATTCAAAGTTCTCAGGAAAAACTATTTAAATAGTTGTTCTGTGAGAAAGCCATTATTACATCTTTAAATAAAATATTTTTATTGGAAGTCCGTTATAAATAACTTTAAAAAAACTGATTTTACCAAAGAGAAAATAAAAATATTGATAAGGGTTGGGTGTGGTGGCTCATGCTTGTAATCCCAGCACATTGGGAGGCCGAGGTGGGCGGATCACTTGAGGTCAGGAGTTCGACACCAGCCTGGTCAACACTGCAAAACCCAGTCCCTACTAAAAGTACAGAAAGAATAAACCAGGTGTTGTGGCACATACTTGTAATCCCAGCTACTCGAGAGGCTGAGGCAGAACTGGTTGAACCCAGCGGTGAGCTGAGATTGCACCACTGCACTCCAACCTGGGTGACAGGGTCTCAAAAAAATTTTTTTAATAAGATAGTTATAAGAAATAATCACACATCAGATGATGGAATTCTTTTCCTGGTTTTAAGTTGGGCTTCACATTCACTAACCTCTCTGTTCAGTTGCTGTTTTATGCCACTCTATTCCCAACTTGTTTTTTCATTTAGAATGAATGACACTGTCTGATTATTTAGCACCAAACAGGACTTTCTATCTATTCCTCTGTAGATAAAGTATTCTAAGTACAGACCACTAAAAGTTTTTGTGCATACATATATTGGGAGTATGCATTCAGATAATTTTGTTAAAATTGTTTCTATTGATTCAAGAGTTGTGTGGGGAAAGGTGAAGAAAAATCACATAAGCATTTAAATAATTCTCAAGGATTTCAAAAGAGAAATCATGAGGTTCCTTAACTGCTATGATGGAATTCTGTGTGCATGAAAAAAGTCAGGAAAAATACTGGGTAGATGTGGTACCATATCAAAAGTACTACACTAAATAGTGTAAGTATGGTTTACACTATTAAAAAGTTCAAAAAACAATCATGCTTTATGTAAGGTTTATTGCCGAGTTAAATGAGGAAACGGAGACCGGAGTAAGAAAAGTAAAAGCCAATTTATTCAGCTCCCGGGCGAGGTTCTATGGTCCGGGAAGAGGGGCCAGAGAAGTCGCGCTTCTCTTCTTAGGGCATGGGGTTTTATAGGGAGTGGAGGTAGTTGATCCGCTGCGGGGGAAACAAAGCGGAGGTAGTCTCATTGGTTATGAAGGGACTGGTCACAGGTGAGGTGGGCCGCCATTGGCAGCCAGGCTGGGCTATTGGCAAGTGGGCTGGTTGAGGACGTGAGAAACGGGGCAAGCTGCCATAGGGCAGGTCTTGGCGGGGTTCTTTAACGGCGGGCTAGGTGCTGAGTGTAGCGCTTGGTGCAGGGCGGGGACTGGTGACGTAGTTTCTAGGCGCGGAGAGGGATGGGCGTGTCCCAGCTCCCTGCGAGGCGACCAGCCTTACACTTTATGTTCTTTATTTTCTTCAAAGAGACTTTTTCTCAATTATATTATCATCAATATATAAACATTCACATTTCCATTTTAGAAGGTTTGATAAGTTGCCTTGTGTCAAACATATTTTTCTGGCTTCCAGATAACTAGTGCAAGGCCAGCATGCCTTTTACGTCGCCTCAGCCACAGGTGATCGCAATTCATGAGGTCAGACCTTGGGCCTCGGACTGCACAGTGCCAAGTGGTTATAATAGGTCCTCAACCCGGACTGTGCTCCTCTGTCCCATCTACAGCTTCCTTCAAAATCCTTCCATCAACCTTTCATCTTCTCACAAACTCAGGAATTTTATTGGAGACACATCAAACAAACCATGTAAAGGCAGAATCATCAGTGGTTCTAAAAGTAGGTAGGGAAAACAGCTGGGACTGTTTAATGGCATAAAAAGCCCTGCCTCTCCAGTGCTGGAGCCTCTTCTTCAAGCTAGGTCATGGTGGATGGAGAGCTCGCTGCCTATCTGGGTCATGTTGCCTGGAATTAAGATGTAATTACTATCCTTGCAGACTACCCCTTACCAGAGATAAACAGGTAGGTGCAGTTGGCAGTAATTATCTCTTTTTCTGACTCACAAATAACCTGGCACCTTCCCCACCATGGTTAGCAAATCCCAGAAGCCCTAATCATCAAATAATT